ATTAAAAAACCCCCTAAAAAACAATCACCCTGGTTTGAAAAGTTTTTTCCCTGTTCCCGAAGGGGGGCCTTTTGCCGGTTGAACCGAATAAAAACCCTTTAAAACCCATTTACAAGGTTTTTGGGAGCCCACTGTGTTTTTTCCCCCAAAGGCCCAACTGTGGTTTAATCGCCCAGAAAAATTTTTAGGGGATCTATACCGGAGGTTTCCAAACGTCAGGTTTTTCCCAAAATTTCATCACGGAAATTTTTTTTCAATGGGAAAAAAAAACCCCTTTAAAAAAGGGCCATACCCTTTTTGGTGCTTTTCCAACTGGAATTTCCGGGGACAATTTGACGAAATTTTTTTTAAAAAAAAAAAGGGGGGTATTTAGGGGAAAAGGGGCCAATTAAATTTGTTTTTGGGCTACACCCCCATAAAAAAGGGAATTGGGAATTTAAAAACCCCCTAAAAAAAGGGGAAAAACCTTGGGGAGTCGCCTAAGGTTTTTTTTGAGGGAAACCCCCAAACCCCGGTTTAAAATTTGAAAATTTCCCTAAAAGGCCCAATTAACCCTTTTCCCTCACCGGGGTTCCGGGGAACTTCACCCCCGGTTTTTTTGCGATGATTAAACAATTTTAAAAGGCCCGGATCAAAAGGGGGTTGGTTTTCCCTGGTTTTAATTTTTTTGGGGAAAAGCCCCTCAAAAAGTCTATCACCCTTGGGTTTTCCACTTTTTCTGTTTCCAGACACCGCAAGGGGTTTTATTCAAAAAAAAGAACCCTCAAAAAAGGGGCATTACCCTGGGGGAATTTTTTGGGATAATTTTTTTTCCCCGGGGGTATTTTAACCCCCGGGTTTTTAAGCAAAAAGAACCCCCAAAAAAGGAATTCCCTGTGTTGTCAGCCTCTGTGTTTTTTTAGGGGTTTAAACCCCCGGCCCCGCTATTTAATTTTTGGTTGGGCTGATTTCCAGACAAAAAAAAAACAAAATTACTGGTTGGGGGTTAAAATATTAAAAGTTCGGAAAAAACTTTTTAAAAGGGGGAATATTTAAAAAATTTGGGCCCCCCTTAAAAAAAAGGGTTTTTTGTTCAAAAAAAACATTAAGTTTTTCTAGTAGAAATTTTTTAATTTTAAAAAAGAAAATGGTTTTATCTTTTAAGGGGCCCGAATGGGGTTTTTTAAATAGGGGGTTGGGTTTTTTAAAAAAAAATTGGGGCTTTGACATACATTTTTAAAATTAACAAAAAAATACCAAATTTAAAAAAAAAAAAACAAACAAAATTCTGCCCAAACTCCCAAAAATTAAAAAGGGGGTCATTTTTTTTTTTTGTTAAAAAAAAAAGTTTTTAACAAAAAAAAATTTTTTCCAAAATTCCCCGATTGTTTTTTTGCAGAAATTAACTTTCTAAAAGCTGATCCTCAAAATGTTCTTACGATTAAAATTTTCCCATTAAGGGCTTTTTTAATTTCCGTGAAAAGGAAAAAAACGGTTTAAAAAAACATTATACCTTTAGAAAAACCTTTTTTTTAATTTTAAAAAAGGGGACCCAAATTTTATTAATTAGTTTTTCGAATAAAATTTAAATTTTGGCCCTTTTAAAAGTTTTTCTGTTTAAACCCAATTTCTGCGCTGGAGCGTTTCAGTTAAAAATGGGCCCTTTGAAGAGCAAAAAAGTTTAAAAAAAAAGTTTGCATTTTGACTTATTTTTAAAAAAATTAAAATTTAAATATTAAAGATTTTCCCAAAGCCCCAAAAAGGGGGTTAAAATAATTTTTAAAAAATATAAAAATTAAAAAATTGGATAAAGGGAAAAAAGAGCAAATATAGGTTTAAAAGGATATTTATATTACTTAAAAAAAGGGTTTTAGTTTTGGGAAAAAAAAAATCCCCTTTCACACCCCAAAAAAAACAGGAAAACCCCAAATCGAGCATTTTTTTTAAAAACTTTAAAAATATAAAAAAATTACAAAAAGGGACAAATTTTTCAAAAAAATTTTAAAACCTTTTTTGAAATTTTTTGTCTAAGATTAAAATTTTTTAAGTTATTAGTGGGGCTTGAAAAAAAATTCATGGCCCCCTGGCCTAATGGGAGATTTTTTTTCTTGTTTATTTTTTTATTTTTTTTTTTCTTTTAAAAGCTATTTTTAGACTAAAGATTTACAATATTTTTAAAAATTTTTAAAAAATTTTCCCTTTTTGATTAAAAATACATTTTTAAAAAAAAATTTTAAAAATTATTTAAAAAAACTCGTGGAAGGGATGGGGCTTTTGAAAAAGGTCGAATTCTAATTTACGGAAAAATTTGGATATTTTTAAAAAAGGGAAAAACTACTAAAAGGGTCACCATTTGAACTGCGTTTTCCTTTTTAAACAATGCATACTCTTTTAAAATTTTTCACGGGGTTTTTGAAAAAAAAAATTTAAAAATGTCGGGGGCGGGGGGAACACCCTTTTATGTCATTTTTTAGGTACTTTTTTTAGAAACGTTTCAACCGTACATTTTTGGCAAAGGGTTAAAAAAATAAAAAAAAAAAAATGGGTTAAAAAGGGGGTTTTTAGTAAAACAACATAAAAAAACCAAAACTCGGGCGTTTTTTAAATATTTAACTGAAACAAATTTTTAAAAAAAAATTTCCAAAGACCGCCCAAAAGGAAAAAGGGGTTTTTGACTAATTTTTATTATCCAAGGGTTTTCGCGTTTACGAAAAAATTTTTTTGGTTTTTATAAATTAATTTAAAAAAAAAATGAAGATCATTTTAAAGGAAGTAATTTTTTTATTTTTAACCATATCTACAGTCATTTTTATGGAAATTGTATATGCAGGGTCAATGCTGTTTTCCAAAAAAAGGAGGGATAAGTTTCCCCAAAATAGGGTTTCCAAAGTGGGTGAAAAAATTACGTTTTGGGTTCGAAATATATGGGGCCCCGTTAAATTTCACCGGACGGCGTTGGGGGCCCGTCCAATTAAGGGGGTTTTAGGGGTTTTTATAAGGGTCGGAAAATTTTAAAGAAAAACTGGGAAATTTCCCAAAGTCTTTTACACTTCCCGGTATTTTATGGGTTTATTCAAAATTTATTCTTTCTACTTAAAAAATGGGAAATTGTTTTTTTGTAAAAAATGTTTTAAACCCGGGTTTAAAAATGTTTAAATTTAGCATATAAAAAAAAAAGAAACTTTTATGAGTTATAAAACATTTTAAAAACCTTTTTTCTCCTTTTTTATTTTTCCTTTTTCGTATGGTTTAAAATTTTAAATTAGATATTTTTACTGAGCTTTGGGGAAAAAAGGGGAAAAGAAAAAAAACGAAATCATGCAAAATTATTTTTTGATAAAAAAGGGGTTTTTTTGTTTCCCCTATATTCCTTTTTTCTTTTTTTCTTTACATAATGACCAAAAAGTATAAGGGAAAGGGACTTTTCATCAAAAACAAAAAAATTTGGAAACGGGGTGAACTTCAAATTAAATTAAAAGCGGTTAAAAATTTTGGGGGATGTTTCCCAAAAATTTTAAACCAAGGGACACCCTTGGGAGAATTTAAAAAACCCGGGGGCGGTTTTAATTTTTATAATTTTTAAAAGAAATTTGGTTGGGAGAAAAATTAAAAATAAAATAAAAATAAAAAATAAAAAAATAAAAAAATGAGATGATAATAGAAGAAAAATAAAAAAAAAGGTTTTTTTTATTTAAAACAATATTTTAAAACCTTTCCCAATATAAACAAAATTTTTAATTTTTAAAAAATTTTTTTTAAATTTTTAAAAAATTAAAAAACATATTCAAGAAAACTAAAATTAATTTTTTTCCTTTTATATATACAAAATCCTCAGCTCAAGATAAAAAATTTTATCTTTGGTTTTCCCCTTTTTAAACCCCCGAAACAGGGGGAAATACTTCTTTTTAAAAACCTTTTTTTTAAAGAGGGGGGGGGGGGTCCCTTTAAAATTTTTATTAGAATTTTAAAACCACGTTTTTGGGTTTTCAACATTAATTAAAAATAATTTCAAAATTTCCTGGCCCTTTCTTTCAAAGGGGTCATGCTACCTTTAATTTTACACTGAGTTGGTGGACAAACATAGTTTATCCCATTTTCCCCCATTAAAAATTTTAAAAAGAATTTTTTAATAATTTTAAAAAATATTTAATTGTATTTTTTTTTTAAAAACAACAAAAACAAATTAAAAAGTTTTTATTGTATGGGGAAAAGGTTTAGGGGTTTCGCCTTTTAAAATTTATACAAATAAAAAATATCGTTTTGGTGTAAAACTTTATTTTCTGTTTTTGAGGTGAAACGCTGAATCGAGGGAAAAAAGGGATACAGAAAGAAAAAAAAAATTTTAAATCTTATTGGGAAAACTAGCTTAAAGTCTGCGAAATTGACAGCATTGGTTTTTTCGTGCGTTGGCCCCGGTTTTTTTAAAGGGGAATTCGGGGGGCATTTTCCCTTTTTCTCATGGGGGGAAAAGAAAATATATTTTATTTTAAAAAAACCCCAAAGGGGTGACAATTGAAAATTGGGTCTTAAAAAAGGCCCAACTACATGTAAAGCCATTTTTATGCCCTTTTTTAAAAGGGGCCAGTTTTTCCCCCTCAAAACAGTGGGGCAAAATCATGGAAAAACCCAAATTTGCTATTGTTTTTCCCCCCCTCATTTCAATGAAATCAACATTTATTTAAAAAAAAATTTTTTGTGGAATTTTAAGCCCAAATTTTTAAAAACCCGTTGTAAAAACAATAAATTCTCTTTTTGCAAAACCGGGTTTCACAGTTTTTTGTAACTGTTAAATGATGGGCTTTAAAACGGAAAAAAATGGGTCTTTTAAAAAAAAACTTTTTTAAAATTGAAAAAAATTTTAAAAATTTTTTTTAAAAAATTTTGAAATTGTTTTTTAAAATTTTTTTGGACATTTGGGAAAATTAAATACATGGGAAAAAAACAGGGACTTTAAAAAAAATTTTTAAAAACCCCCGACGATGAATGCTGTTATACACAACGTTTATTTATTTCCAGATCGTGATGTATTTTGAGAGTAACAGCAATTCGATCAAGTACAGGACACCAATACCTGGTGAAGTCGTAACTGGAACTAGCATTGAGATTGTGTTTGTACCTCAGGAGCCGTGGAACCAGTAAGCCATTCTAGTTCAACATTTTAGTAGAACAGTAATTCAATAACTCTTAAACTGTATAAAAGTGGCTTAAAATACCCCCTTAAGACATCATTTGTAAATGTGATAACTAAAAGAAGGAGAACGGTGACCCCAATATTTTCTTCACTAAAAAGTTTCTGTTATCATATTCTAACAACATGCCAAGTTTTAAGAAATTCTATTTAACAGTTTTCATTTTGTCTATATGCCTGTATGAAAATTCCCGAAAACGTCTCTTATTTAATGTCAAATGCTGACGAAAAGAAAATTCTCTCTATAATTCATTTTAGGATTGTTTTCAACATTTATGATGCAAGCGAAACTGACATCGTACTACACATATCATTTCGGAAAGACTTTAACAAGATTCAGCTCAATTCGGAAGTCCAAGGCAAATTTATGCAGAATAAAAACGCTGAGGGCGTGGCAATTACATCAGGCAGTGTTGCCAAATTAACTGTGGAAGTTCATCAAGATGCATTCAAGGTTCGTAAGTTGCTCTTTCTTGCACGCGCTCTTATCTGTTCATTTAAATGATTATATGAATGAATGTACATAATTATTAAACAAGCTTTTTTGTTAATCAACACTTGGTATAATATATCCATGAGGTTATGCATTTGCTACCACTATTACTATTTTACTGTAATATTTCTATATGAAAGATATTTCAAAGCTGGCCTTTCAAAAGTCTTTTCGAAATGTGTAACTCGGTTCTAATAATGTGTTTTTTTTTATCAAAGTAAAAAATTATAATTGGATACCCTTTTCCTTTGTTTCTTGGCGGAGTTCACATATAGATACAAGATGGTAATATTTAATAGTGTTTCTTTTATACAAACAAATACAATTCAACCCTCCATTTCTTCATAATCTTCCAACCTGCAAACAAAAGACGTTAAACCAACGTTATACTGACGTTAGATCACGACGTTGGATCAACGTCGCCAGAAGGTTGTACTTGCAGATAATCGCCTTACATATTTTGTTTTGTTTATATTTTAGGTGTTTGTTGACGGAAAAGAGAAATACCATTATTCTGCAGTCTTGAGCCCTGATTTGTCACGAATTATACATTTCAGTTCTTCATTGGGCTCCAATTGTTTGCTAGAGAAAATATGTTTTAAAGACCTGTAACAGTTCATTTCAAGTGAAAATCTACAAAACTGATATTTGATTAAAGAATTACTGAAGATGGCATATCAAAGACAAAATTGAAATTCCTATTGATACCATTCACATAACTATGGTATAATGTTAACAATGAAAAGAATATACATGTATAGGTAAGGCGTAACATTGAATCATATTTCAATTTCATGTAACACTTTTGTCTAAATGCAAATAAGATCAGCCTATTTATTATACCTCAATATATCCTCCAATGTAAAACTCCCATAGGCCTATTATGTTTTCTGATTGAATATCACCCTCCTAGGATTTATTCCCCGGCGAATATTTCTTATATCACCCTTGGGCACATAACTCTTGCATAACTCTCTATTATCGTACATTCTAGCCTCTCTGATTGTGTCTTTAGGATTAGCATCACCTGTAAAAATGATGTGTCTATTTATTTCCTTGACTGCGTACTTTAAAAATATTGTAGTTGTAGGTCTTAGGGTGTAATAAACGGGGTGACATTAACTGGCTTATTACCCAGTTCTCGGGTTGACAATATCCTTTTCACCCCGACAGACATGTGTTATTTATATAATGTCTTATTAAGTACCATTATACTTAATATAAGAACATTTTTGTATAGGTTAATTTTTATAAGAAAGCATTTACACAATTAAGACGGTCAAGAACAGTGCAACACTTACCAATTTAGTGGTTAAAATCATGTTTTATAAAACTGTCGATTTACTAGACTGATTGAATTTAGCCGATTAAACAAAGTAAATTTGTTATATTCACTTGAAATACTGCAATCCTATTGGGCAAAATAATTTCATATACTAAATTTTGTTTTGATTGTCAGGTACTATGTGGCCCCGTATGTTATCTTAGTATTATTATACTAAGTAGTTTATCTCTCATACAAATAATTAATTAAAACAAAAATGTTTTGAAGAAAAAATGCTTGTTCTCTATACCCATTCATAATAAACATTTTAACCATTATATTTAAAAGACCATGGCTAACCTGCAGAGAACTTACACGGTAAGACCAGTTTCATTGAAATATATAGAAAGAAGGACCCTAGTGAAACCGAATATTCTCCGTAGATATCGAAGTCATTGTTCGATCTCTCAACTACTCAACTACATGTACATAGGTCACTGCCCTAACACACCAAACGCTCGGCGCAATATTATCGCCATCACTACATTTTGTATATTTTACTGTCCCTAATAAAAACTACATGCTGCGGTATTACGACTTTGTTCACGACCTACCTTACTTTTTTGGCCCTTGAAATTGTGAAGAATCACACGTAAAAGATAAGGATTGCGTACGGTATTTCGATCATTGCTTGTTTTAATGATCGGTGATTTTCTCTTTCATTTTATAAAATTAATGAATGTTTGTAACTGTTGCCTACCATTTAAACACCATTTGTCTGATTCCGCTGTAGATTGGTCCTCGCCATAGTTTTTCTTTACAACAATAAAAGTCACAAAGCTCTAACGCAAGCAAAATGTCCAGGAGATTTCCTCGTGGCATGGTCTGATTTGGACCGGCGATTAGTTCTTTCTGTATATAAAGTGTATTAATTTTCTTATAAAAAAAAAATCAACGAGCTAATCGTTAAAACACACTTTGTTTGATTCCATTGAGGATTCGTTTTTCAAATAGTTTGGAGGGTATACTTTACAGCAAAAAAAAAGCTTTAATTCCTTACGAAAGGATAATATCCGCCAGATAGGAGAATGAATGGTCATCTACATAGGTAGACGAATTTATGTTTAGATCTGCATAGTTGTTGAAATTAAATGGGACTCATTACGACATGAAAATTTCATTACGTCGCGCTGTACATTGTCGTTTTTTGGTATTGTTTCAGGAATCCGACACCATATATCTTATTTATATATAGACAGAGCTGACATTCTCGTAATGCCTAGGATATAAATAAGTTTCATCGATATATAAAGTTTTAATAAGCACATGACAATAAAATCAAATTTGAGTATAAACATAGTATACATGTATAAGTTATCAAATCCGTTACCTAATCTAACCAAAATAACACACACAAGCAACAAAACACATGTGTGACCCTGCTTTACTATATTAAAGGTGGCTATTAGAGTTTTTGAAGGCGCACAACACTATGAAATTCTGTACATTCAATTTTTTTCAAAACAATCTTGTTTCCTAGTTTTTAAAAGTAAAAAAAACGGATAAATTTAGAAATTTAATTGTTTTATTATAATCCAATGCAACATCAACGCGTTTTGGTTCATGTGAAACAGTTCCATTTTAGGCGGGGACAAAGCATACTCTGTCGCCGGACTTATCTATGCTACTTAATTATAGATGAAACGTGTTTACGCATAATGGGTCCACAATATATAATATCGTTTAACTACAGACAGTTGCACAGTCCATTATTGGTATACGGAGATAAGAATACATTGTATTTTAATTTAAGGGAATGTAAAAATCAAAATCTTTTGTTACAAAGCAAGAAATTGTAAATTGGTTCTGAAGTGTAAAGCTGATGAATATCAATGTTTTCATGTACTTTTGTTTTTATTGGCAACTCGCATAGTAAATCACGTCATTTCGCAGTAAATCATGCGTCGTATTCAAAATCCTAAACGCGCCTTAAAAACCCCACCATTTACTCGAACCAACCGTTATTACAACATTTGTCCGATGCCGTTGAGGCTTCGTTTTCTATTGATTTCTATTGATTTGAAGGATATGTTTACAGCATTATAATGCAAAAGGCCCTAACACAAAAAATATCTTGGAGATTTCCGCGTCGTTTTTAGAACCGGCGATTTTTTTGGTACCTAAAGTCTAGTAAAAATTCTAGTAAAAAACACATTTTTTCGAGCCAAGCGTTGAATTACCATCTGGCTGATTCCGATGCAAATTCGTTTTTCTTGTAGTTTAAAAGATCTTCTTAACACCATAAAAGGCCCAATCCAAGCAACATGTCTGTGAGTTTTCTGCGTGTCATGGTCGTTTTTTGTCCTTTTTTTGGGTCTTTTTTTCGTTTTGTTTTGAACCGGTGATTTATTCTTGTATATACCCGTAATAGTGTATAAATTTTAGTAAATGGTCACCATCTTTTCGGACGAACCGTTAAAATATCATTTGTTTGATTACGGTGTGGATGTGTTTTTTCATTTTGTTTATGAGGGCCTCATTAAAGTCACAAAGCCCAAACCCAAACAAATTATCCGAGAGTTAACCGCGTGGAATGGTCTTTTTGGACAGGCTATGTGTTCTTTTTGTATTTAAAGTAAAATTTTTTTCGTAAAAACACAATATTCTCGAGCCAACGGTTGAAACTCCGATTGTATGATTCCTTTGTTGTTTCTTTCTCCATTTGATAGAGGGTCTCCAATATAAGGCATAAAGCAATAATGACCTATAGATTTCCGCGTGGGAAGCCATCTTTTTTATTTCATTTATTTATTTCATTTTATTTTTGACCGGCGATCTGTTCTTTCGTTATATAAAAAGAATATTTCCGTAAAAAAAGAACAATTTTCCCAAGCGAACCGTTAAACTATCATTTGTCTGATTCCGTTGCGGATTTCGCGAAAGCCATAACACAAACAAAACGTTCTGTAGATTCCCATTTGATAGGTCTTTTTGAACGGCGATTTGTTCTTTCTGTATATAAAGTGTAAAGTTTTCGTTAAAAAAAACCCATTTTCTTCGTTATAGATAAATATAAGTCCGAAAGCCCTAACCAAAACAATGTGTCCGAGAGATTTCAGTGTTGCATGGTCGTATTTGAACCGGCTTTGTGTTATTCTGTATATTAAGTGTTTCAATTTCCGTAAAAGCGCATTTTTTTCGAGCCAATTGTTTATAGCACTTTTTGTCTGATTCCATTGCGGATTCGGTTTTCCATTACTTTAGAGGGTCTTCTTTAAAGCAATATGAAGTCGAAAGCCCTAATCAAAGAAAAATGTTCGTAGGCTTTCTGCATGGCATGTTCGTTTTCTGGACCTGTTCGTTCAGTATTTAAAGTAAGGCGACTTGTTCTTTCTGCATAGAAAGTTTTAATACAAAAACAACATTTTCTCAAGTCAACAGTTAAAACACCATTTGTCCGATTCTGTTGCAACAAATCTTTGTCTGTTAGTTTAGAGGGTCTTTTTAAAGCAAAATAAGGCAAAAAGATCTAACCAAATCAAAGTGTTCGGGATATTTCCGTGTGACATGGTCGTATTGTGGACCGGCTATTTGTTTTTTCTGTATATAAAGTGTATCAATTTCCGTAAAAGCGCCATTTTCTCGAGCCAATTGTTTAACATTATATATTTGTTTGATCCGCATGCAGACACGTTTTTCATTTAGAGAATTTATATAAAGCCCAAAACCCTAATCCAGGGAAAATGCAGCAGGTGAAAATTAAATAAGTTTGATCGAGTCTGAAATTGGTTTGATTAAGTCTATAAGTGTTAAAATTGAGAATGTAATTTGTTTGATTGTTTTTGTAAATAATATGGATTTGAAAGCGGTATTACAATTTGTTGGTATATCAAACCTAACAAAAGTTCAAGCCTTATATTTGGTTCTGGAATTCAATAAAAACAACACTTCATGACGATAACAAAAGTTTTGATTATAAGAGCGAGTACATATGTGCCAATATATATGACTGTGTTTATAATACTGATAAATCTGCTATGTACATTATGCGTACCAAAAGGACATTAAAAAGGGACAAATAACTATTCTTTTTCAATTTCTTTTTTACTTTCTCTAAGCCTTTAATAGCAATAAATATAAAACATAATAGCAACTACAACTGCCACTGTCATGGCGTTATTAACCCCGCATACCCAAAGCCCTAATCCAAAGAAAATGTCCACAGGTTTTTCAGCGTGCCATGACCGGCGACTTTTTTGTTCTGTACATAAATTAAGGCGACTTGTTCTTTCTGCATACAAAGTGTATACATTTAATAAAAAAACATTTTCTCGAGCCAACAGTTATGACGGCGAGGTATACTAGTAGTCGGTATTTGCCTTGGCGATTTGTTCAAGTATATAAATAGTATGTATTTTTGAGATTTTGAGGAAAAATGTACCAATATCTTGGGCCAATTGTTAAAACATCCTTTGTGTGATTCCGTAACGGATTAGCAACTGCATACGTTTGGAGGTTCTCCTTTATTTAAAGCAATATAGGACACAAAGTTCTAAACCTAAGTTAAATGGGATTTTTATTGTTGACTTGCTCTTTCCGTATACAACGTGCATAAATTTTGTTTTAAAGAAGCACATTTTGATTTGTTCTGTATCTGTATAAAGTGTAAAATGTTTCTGCAAAATAACCATTTTCTTGTGCCAACTGTTCAAACACCATTTGTCTGATTCAATTGCAGATTTACAATTCTACTAATTTGGAAGTTCCCCTTTACAACAATATAAGGCACACAGTTCTAGCCGTTATTTGGTCTTTTTTATAAAAAAGTATAACAATTTTTCAATTTTTGTATTAACCACGTTTTTCTGGTGCAAACCTTTCAAACACCATTTATCGGTTATTCTGTTCAGCGATATAAGGGCATGTATCTATCTATTTAAACTTGGTAGGTTGAAAACGCTATTCACGATTTGCTTGCTTATCATTAACTTATTATGCAAACTTTGAGGCACAGTGCCCTTTTTTATAGAAAAATGAAGCACAAAGCTTTTTTAAATTAAAGAAATTAAAGATTGGACCAAATTATCTTGAATACTTCTCTAGGGTAATGAAAACAAAATGCAGCAGGTGAAAATAAGATTGGTTTGATTGAGTCTGAAATTGGTTTGCTGGAGTCCAATTGGTTTGAGAGTCAGAAATTAGTTTGATTTAGTCTATAATCATTTAAATTAAACCTGGTTT